TTTCAACTGGTGTGCTGGATTTCAAAATATGCAGTACATGAATATTTAGTTATGGGAACTGGAATCTTTTTCTTAAATTGTCAAATTAAAAAATGACAACAACAACCCTGACTGGTGTGGCTCACTTGGTTGGAGTGTCATTTCATAAACAACATTCATGGTTTTAGTTCCTGGTCAGGGCATATATCCAGATTGTAGGTTTGGTCAGCATGTAAACGAGAGACAATTGATCAGTGTTTCTCTCTCACATTGATCTCTCTCACTTTATCCTTCTTCCCTCTTTCTCTTCTCTCCTTCTCACCTCCCTCTCCTCTCCCCCCACGCCTCCTCTCCCCTCCTCCCTCTTCTTCTATTCTTCTCTCTGTAAAAGCAATGAGAAAATGTCCTAGGGTGAGGATAAAAAAAGATGACAATAACCAACACAACAATAGCTATCTGGTATGAATAAAACAAAATTATACCAATTTTTTGTTAGATTGGCAAAAGATATTTTAGATGTGCTGCAGAATTCTAGTAATTAGTTTATGTGTGCTGTGAAATGAAATAAATGTTGAAAATCACTAAATTACACCAGAAGATATAACTGACTTTTTGGACTAGACAGTAGAAATAGGTCTGATTTTGACAGACAGAAGCAGATAGCATTTCTGGCAGAGGAAAGTGAGAGATAAACCTGATGCAATTGAAAGGTAAACCAGGTGTGTTCAGGAAATTCCAGGCAATACTGTTTGGCTAGTGTGAAGAGAATGGAGGGAGTAGGGAGAGGTAACAGTGGAAATGTATTTCAGGGTTAGGTCATAAAGAGCCTTGAATATTGGGTTAGGGTTTGGGCTTAGCTTTGGTTAATGAGAAGCCATTTTGAAAAGAGTAGTAAAACAGGTAAAAGATGAAATATGATGGTGATTTCAAGCTAGATGGCAGACAGAATGTGGAACCAATGACAGAAATATGGAGATCATTTCTGTTGATCTCCAAAGAGGAGTGGTTTGCAGAAGAGGGTGGTGAAGGGGATGATAAATTTGATTTCTCCTGATTGATTTTAAGATGTCAATAGGGCAGTTAGGGATTCGTAGCACTCAGTTGAAAGTATAGGATTGACTATTAAGGAAAAGATCTGGTTTTGGAATTATAACATCTAAGTGTCCAGAATGGATAGATAAGGACACAGTTTAGAGACAGAAAAGGACTAAGGAAACAGCCTCAGAAAGGTCAAGGAAGCACAGGGGGTTGAAGCAAGAGTGGGGTGGGACATGAGGTGAAAATTACATCAATGAAGAGGAAGCTTGAAAGGCAATTTTGGATTTGTTTACTAGAGATCACTGGTGATGCTAGAGAAAGAAGTTTCAAAATAGTGATAAGAAGCAAAAGAGGTGGCTGGAGAGCCAGAGGCCATAAGGACTTGAAGTCAGCTAAACCAGACTCATTTAGAAAGTTCATTTGTAATGATGGGATAGAGAGTAGATTGATGAGGTAGCAAGGTGAAGATTATCTGAGGTTTGTCAGACTTCAACTTTTGTGCTCACACAGCAATTCCCCAGTACTACCCCAGCCTCCACCATCACCTGGGGACCCATGAGTGAAAGATACCTCACCACCCCTTCCCTTAGGACTTTGTTCCTTCTCTGCTGGGAAATGCCTGAAGGTAACACCCTGTCATGTGGCAATTTTTTAATAACTTCTTGGTGACATCATTGCCTCCTGTGCTTACTGAAGTCTTTGATTACCTGAATGTTATTGCTGATCTCTCACCCATAGTCCCTTGAACTTGATTTTTTAAAATTTTCAGAGAGAAAGAGGAAGAGAGAGAAAGAGACACTGATTTGTTGTTTCACTTACTTATGCATTCATTTGTTGTTTCTTGTATGTTCCCTGACCAGAGACTGAACCCGCAACCTTGACATACTGGGACAATGCTCTAACCGAGGTAACTGGCTAAGGCCTTAACCTTGTTTTTATTCACACAGTCTCAGGGTCAGAACTTTCAAAGTCATGTTCTCCAACCCAAACCTCTACCTATACATTTTCAGTGATGTGGGATTCTTCTTTTTCTGAAGTAATATATTTTTAAGAGTCTATGAGAAGAACAAGGCAAAAATGACAAAAATATTCTCCATAAACAGCCAACAACAAAATCTCCTACAATATTTTTGATCTGAGATAAGATTTAGTTAATGAAACACACAGTCTTTGGTTAATAACACATCCTTATATTTAGTCCACAAATCCTTTTTCTGTTTTAACTGATGGTTGCATTTAACCACCATTCCTCCTTTTCCCTGGACAATTATTTAAAGTGTTTGTTGTATTTTTATTTGTAGATGACTTGGTTAAGCACATATTGCTGTATTGCATACTTGTATATTGAATTAACAAAATTATAGGCCTTATTCTATTTCTTGCTTTTTCCACTCTATCATGTTTTTTAAAATGAACTGTATATGGCACATATGTTTTGCAGGGGTTGGGGATACTGACCTACCATGCAGTCAAAAATCCCATATAACTTGAATTGCCATCCCTCCACATATGTAGATTCACAATCATGAGTCAAAAGCCCATAGTGCATTGTTACTGCTAGCTTCACAGTATTCCATAGCAGGCATCTCTCTGTTACCACAGACAATGCGTAGTGTACACATCCTCTTAGGACCTAAATGAGAAGTTGTCTGGGATATTTACCCAGAAACAGGACCCCTGGATCATAGTGGAAAGCATGCTTAGTTGCCAGGACCCTCACCCACCTGTAGGAGCATCCTCACAACCACATACATTTCCCAGCCCCTAGGTGTTATCTAGTTATCTAATTTTTATTGATCTAAAGAGTGCTTAATAGTCTTTGATTGTGTGAATTTATATTTCTGTAATCACTGGTGAGCTCTGAGCATGGTTCACACACACATTAGTATTTTGCATTCCCTGTTCAGTGAATTAACTATTCATATTCTTCGCAAAATTTTTTCTTGGGTTTCTGCCTGATTTGTTTGTAGGCTTTCCTTTGTGTTACATTTGAGTCTCTTGTTGGTTTTAGACACTGCATATATCATCTCCTATTCTGTCATTTCTTTGTCAATGTTGCCCATGGTGATGTCATTGAACAGTAATATTTAATTTTAAAGAAGCCAAATTAAATAACTCCTTTATAGTTTATGCTTTTGGAGGTCTACTTAAAACATTTTTTTACTATTCCTAGGTCACAAATTTCTGTTCTAACATTATTTCCTATTAACTTTATATTTTCACTTTTCACACATAGGCTGTTAATTTTTTTATATCATCTACCTTCACATATGGTTCTAAGTAAGAATCAGCTTTATTTTTCTCAAATATCATAAGCCATTTTCTTCAACAGCATCTTCTATCGATTCTGTTTCTTCTTGTCTGGATTTATGTACTACTTTTTTTTTCAAATTCCCTTGTGAATGTGGCCTGTTCCCTAGCAGTCTCTCCCCTCAGTCCCTGTTTTCTCCTGCATCATGCCACACCCACTTGTCTGGTGGGGCAAACATGTTTTGGAACTAATCTAAGAAGGAGTTATAAGACTTCCGCCAAGATGGAGGCATAGGTGGATGTGTCGTGCCTTCTCACACAACCAAGTTTAGAGACAACTAAATATTAGCAACAGAAAACACAGCCAGAACACAGAAAATTGAACTTTTTGGAAGTCTGTTAACAACAAATTCTTCAGCCTGACTGGTAAGAGGGGCGAAACCAGCAGATGGCGGAGTGGGGTAGCACAGGAAAACTCAGTCAGACAGACTCAGGCATGCAGAAGTCAGGCGCAGGGTTGGACCCAGTGAGAGACCCAGCGAGCGGCCTCGGGGAAACAGCGAGGGAGCAAGGCTGCGGGTTGACTGTGGTCACGCATTCATGCTGGATAGACAAGCGAGGGAGTGGGCGATTGGACCAGGACCCAGTGGGTCCCCGTGGCGAGCGGCAGCCGAGGCCGCCATTTCCCGCTCTGACCCCGCCTCCACATACAGCGTCATAACCCAGCGACTCTGAGTGGCCCAGCACTAGTGAACCACCTAAGGCTCTGCTCCTCACCCAGCAGCACAAAACAGCAAAGGGGGCCCGCCATTTCCCCCGCTCTGACCATGCTCTCACATACTGCATCACAACCCAGCGACCTGGTAGTCCAAGGCTCCACTCCTCATACTAACGAGCGCAAACAGACCAAAAATGGCTCAAGAAGGTCTCAAAGCCCCAGAGCCTATAAATCTAAGCGATGAAGAAATAGCAAAACTCCAGACGCACAGTTTAAAACACTGGTCATCAGGATCCTCACAGAACTGGTTGATTATACCGACAAATTAGACAAATATATGAAGGCGAAACTAATTGAAATGAATGGAATTGCACAGGAAACCAATAGCAGTGAAAAGGAAAACCGGGACTCAAATCAAGGGAGTGGACCAGAAGAAAGCAAATAATGGCCAAACAGAAAAGAGTCAAGAAGCAAGATTCAAAGAAATGAGGAGAGTCTTAGGAAACTCCAGGACATCTTTAAATGTTCCAACATCCGAATTATAGGGGTACCAGAAGGGGGAAAGAAACAGCCACCAGGGGAAAACTTATCTGAACAAATAATAAAGGAAAATTTCCCCAATCTGGCAAAGGAAATAGACTTCCAGGAAATCCAGGAAGCTCAGAGAGTCCCAAAGAAGTTGGATCCAAGAGGAAACACACCAAGGCACATCATAATTATATTAGCCAAGATTAAAATGAAGGAGAGAATCCTAGAAGCAGCAAGGAATAAGGGGACAGTCACCTACAAAGGAGTTCCCATCAGACTGTCAGCTGATTTCTCAAAAGAGACCTTACAGGCAAGAAGGGGCTGGAAAGAGGTATTCCAAGTCATGAAATCCAAAGACCTACCACCAAGATTGCTCTATTCAGCAAAACTTTCATTTAGAATGGAAGGACAGATGAAGTGCTTCTCAGATAAGATCAAATTCAAGGAGTTCATCATCACCAAGCTCTTATTATATGAAATATTAAAGGGACTTACCTAAGAAAAAGAAGTTAAAAAAACATGAACAGTGAAAGGACAGCAAACTCACAGTTATTAACAACCACACCTAAAACAAAAGCAAACTAAAAGGACAGCTAGATCAGGAGTGGAAACATAGAAATGAAGATCTCAAGGAGTGTTAGCAACAGGGGAGTGGGAGGAGGAGAAGGGGGGAGAAGGTAGAGAAAATAAGTAGCATAGACAGTAGATAGAAAATAGATGGGAGGCAAGAACAGTATGGGAAATATAGAATCTAAAGAACTTGAGACACATGGTCATAAACTAAAGGGGGGGTAATGGTGGGGATGGGAGGGTAGGGTGGAGGGGAATGAAGGGGGGAATAGAACAACCGTAATGGCATAATCAATAAAAAAATTTAAAAAAAAGAAGGAGTTATAAGAAGAATGCTTCTGGACTTTTTGTTGATGCCCCCTCCCTTTCTTCTACTTTCATTCATTAGAGACCTATGTTGACATCAATATCAGCTCTGTTTACTTTTGCTTCCTTTATAGTTTATCAAAAACTCAAAAGCAATGTTTTTAGAAATGAAAATCATTTATTTCTTTTTTAAAGATTTTATTTATGTATTTATTTCTTAGAGAGAAGGGAAGTGGGGGAGAAAGAGAGAAAAAGAAACATTGATTGGTTGCCTCTCACATGCCCTCAACAGGAGACTTGGCTAGAACCCAGGCATGTGCCCTGACTGGGGATCAAACCAGTGACCTTTCAGTTCTCAGGCTGGTGCTCAACCCACTGAACCATGCCAGCCAGAATGGAAATTACTCATTATTCGGACAATGCTATGAGAGAAAGAGGACTGAGGAATCAGCTTTCTCACTCAGATGCTCAGAGACTGAAGGGCGGAAAGAAACCAGTTGACAAGTGAATCTTAGGGAGTTTCTTCTCTGTAGTTTCAGGTGGATAGTGAGCCCCACCAGTTAGAGGCACAGCTGGGGAGCCAGTGCCAATTTCAGAGACAACTGGATGCCCTACCCCAACAGCAGCCAGAGCATCTGGAGCCCATGCCAGCAGATGTGTGCAGGACAATCACACAGCTCAGCAGCCCAATGGCTGATCTGGAGAGGATGGCCAAAGATGTGCATGCCAGCATGCTGAAGGCGCACCCCAAGGCCCTACCCAAGGATGTGGTTTTCCACAAGGGATGGCATGGGACACAATGCTGCTAAAGCAAAGTGAGTTGCAGAGGAGAGGTGCCATTCCCTCCAGTTCTCAAGGGGTCACCACGAATGGCATCCAATAGTGGGTTTGGGAGGGAATTGGATGGGGGTGACAGGAACTTGAGAATCATGATTCTCACTCTTTTCATCTCTCTTCTAGAATGCCAGTGACTTAATGACCAAGTATGAGTTGCCTTCTCTGCTCTACACATGTACTTATACATACAAGCCCACATATAAGCACACACTTGCACATGGCTTTATCAAAGTCAAGGATATCCACTGCTCTGTTAACTTTTGTATCTTTATGCATGTAACAAGTAGAAGATGTAACAAAATCTACTGAAGGATTTCTTTGTTTCTAGGAGTGCTCCACAAAAATTAGAAGCTATTTATCCCAAGTTACACAGAAGAGTCAACAAATCACTTCTTGAGCCATCCTTAGCAACTCTGACCTGTTTATCCTCAGGCCTTCTCATTGTTGGGGACCTCTCTGCCTGGTTTCAGGAATTGTAACTACCTCCCATGGCTAAGGATTAACTAGTGACCTCCAGAATGAAAGCAACAGGAGACAAAGCTTGTTTCTGGTAGCAAATGCTGCCTCAGTTTCCTCCCTGCCCCCAAAGCATGGTCAATGTTGTTAACAGGTAAGACTCTTCACAGCGAGGAGCAAACTAAGCCACACATGATCACTTGGGAGGCCATCATGGAAGGACTCAGGGGGCTGCAACAAGGAGTGAGCAATGGACCCTTGCTATGTGACGTAGCCCAAGTCCCCATGTCCTCTGGGAGAAGCGCTTCCTGGCTCTAATCCACTTAAGCCTGAATACCTGATGGGGAGGGGTGCAGCTCCTTGCCTTGCTAGAGCGGATCCTGGGGGAAAATCTGGCATCACACAGAATTCCTAAAAAACCTGTGAAACCTACTCTGCTAAGAGTGTTTTCATTTATATGTTAAGGGTCTGAGCAGGAAACCCTAAATTTTCTGCAAACCCCCTTTCTGACAGACACTGACTCAGACTAAGCCCTCAGATTTCTTTGAAATGTTATCTACTGTTTGATCCTTCCTGCCCTGTATTCCTGTGTATTATAACCCAATAAAATCCCCTGAAGGAAGGGGCTCGAGGCCCTTCCCTTTTGAGGGATCAGCCACCTCTCCTCCCCAAGCAGATCATGTCTTGGTACTGTTTACTTTCATCCATGGCAGACGGGGGGATATTTGGGAAAAGTCGCCCCCACACCTTATCTCAGACTCACCTCATCCTCCTCAATGTCCTTCCTCCAACCTGTCCGACCTCCCATTAGTTCTACCCAGTGTATCTTCAGACCCGCCATCTCCTGAACTTGACCCCGTTTCGTCACCCCCACAGCCATGACCTGATCCCTGACCCTCTGACTCTTGGACTATAGTCACAGTTTGTTCCTCGTGCTTGTGGCTTCCACTGTAGAGGTCAGGATGCAAGATTTCCACTTGCCTGTGAAGTGACAGGTGCCTATCTCTCATAATCTCATATTAAAATAAGAGTATCTTGGCACCTAGGTGGCATATGCTCACATGTGGTGAGGCCACCTCTGTACTTGGAGATCTCAGTTCTATTGCAAGGAATATTTCTTCTGAGCTCCTTTAGAACCTTTTGTCTGGACCACTCACCTGGCACTTTGTATTTCTGTGATGGACAGACCCTAGGGTGGCCCGCATGATCCTCCCCACTTGGTGTTCATGCCCTTGGTATGATCCCTTCCCCTTGGGTGCAAGCAGGACCTGTGAGTTGCTTCTAACAGTGGCATATGGTAAGGTGATCAAATGTCACTTTCAAGATTAAGTTATGTTATATAGCAAAGGGAATGGGATGTCATTTCAGTGACTTACTTTTGAGACTTTCCTTGTGGAATTGATAAAATGAGTGGCCCTGTGACCAGCAAATTGCCTCTAGAAGCTGAGAGCAGCCTCCAGCTTTTAGCCCAAAAGAAGCAGGGCCCTTCGTCTTGCAGCTGCAAGAAAATGAATTCTGCCAACTGCCTAAGTGAACTTGGAAGTGGATTTTTCCCTAGTGGAGTCTCCAGGTAGGAACCCAGTCCAGCTGACACCTTGACTACAGCCTAGTAAGACCCTAAACAGAGGACCCAAATTTATGACTCACAGAAACTGATATAAGTGTCACATAACCTGTGATATAATAAGTGTACGTTGTTTTATGACATTAAATTTGTAGTAATTTTTACAAAGCAATGGATAAGTAGTGCATTTGTACAGTAATTGTGCATCCTTCTTTGGGTGAATAAGGACAGAATTTTGTGTACCCCCAGTGTTTAAGATAGTGTATGGTTCATAGTTTATTCCCATGAAATTTATTAAGTAGATACATGAATGAATTAATAGAAAATATAAGGGCCATTTTTTTTTCTGACACTCGATGTTTAACAGCAGGAGACTCTGACTTGTATGTATTGAGGCCTTGCTGAAAGAGTCAACACTCTTTATATCCATCATGCTGGGCACTGATGGATATAAAGAATAAAACATGGCCACAAGGAAATGCTGCACTGTAGTGCAAAAAGTAAAAATTTGACTTAAATTTAATCCCAGTCCTTACACCTAACACCTCTGCAACCCTGGGCAAGTTACTCTACCTGTCTGAACCTCAGTATCACCCCCTCTAAAATTAAGATAATAGTACATGTGGCTTTTGGATTGTTGGAGAATTAAATGTTATTGTGTATGCTGCAGTCCTAACATGCTATAAACATTCCGATATGGTAATTCTATCTTCTTATTCTTTTCCTCCATCCAGAAGCTTATAATCTAGCTATGAAACCAGGGCAAACACATATATACTAACAAGGGAGTGTGTGAAAGGTTAAATTAAATATTCCAGTTGCTAAGTGCTATGGGGATTCAGAGGAGAAGACACAAGTGAGGATGAGAAAGTCAGGGTCAGCTTTGTGAGGGAGATGGGACTGAATACTGGGAGAGAAAGATGAGATCACACTGGTCTGGAAAGCTAGGGAAAAGGTCATGGCACAGCTGCAAGAATATGAGGAGACTGTTTTATCTGGAATATTCAGGAATGGGGAAGACCGGAGTCAAGCAGAGCATTAGATGAATAACACCAAGATAGACAGCCATCATAGGTTTTGGGTTAGGAGTGAACAAGTGACGTTTCAGAAAAATCAATTTGGACTCTTGGTGCCAGATGGCTTGGGGGCAGGGAGATGAGAAGATGGAGAATGAGTGAGAAACAAAGATGTAGATGTACTAAGCAGGAAGCTGGAAACATGAAACCCCAAATATAACAAGATGATAGCCGAGCAAAGATGGCCCTGGAGGTGACAGTTGCATCCTAGATGGAGTTAACATTACACAGACAATCTATCCAGAAGGTTCCCACCAGGAGTGGGAGGAGGCTGACAACTTCCAAGACTCTGTCACCACCTGAACCACTTATCCTGCAGGTGCCTGGCAGCCCTTCTGTCCTCTTCTGATGTGACTAAAGTTGAATGGGCTCCTGTGGATATCTGACCAGCAGGTGGTTGGCCAATCAGGCCTATCAAGTGGCCTGCTGAGAAAGAGTTTTTCTTTTTAAGAATATTAACAATTTCTTTTTATTTAAAAAAATTTACTGTTTTTTAATTATAATGTCCTCATTCCCCCCCTCCATTATTCTCCCTGGCATTACCTATGCCCCACCTCCCACCCTCAATCCTACTCCACTTTGGCTTTGTCCATGGGTCCTTTAGACATGTTCCTTGACTTCACCCTCCCCCTTCATACCCCATTATCATCCTCTCCACTCCCCTCTGATTACTGTCAGATTCCTCTTTATTTCCATGTCTCTGCTTCTATTTTTCCCACTTGTTTGTTTTGTTTATTAGGTTCCACTCATATGTGAGATCATATGGTATTTGTCTTTTGCCACCTGACTTATTACACTCAGCATAATGCTCTCCAGTCCATCTATGCCATCTTGAGGGTAGGACTTCCTTTTCTTTCTGCTGCGTAGTATTCCATTGTGTAAATGTGCCATAGTTTTTTGATTCCCTCATTTACCAATGGGCACTTAGGCTGTTTCCAGCACTTGGCTATCGTAAATAGCATCACTATGAACACTGAGGGGCACCAGTTCTTTAAAATTGGTGTTTCAGGCTTCTTAGGGTATAATCCCAGAAGTGGAATTGCCAGGTCAAAAGGCAATCCCATTTTTAGTTTTCTGAGGAAATTTCATACTGTTTTCCACAGTGGCTGCACCAGTCTGCATTCCCATGAACAGTGTATTAGGGTTCCCTTTTATCCACAACCTTGCCAGCACTTGTGGTTTGTTGATTTGTTTATGATGGCCAGCCTGACTGGTGTGAAGTGGTGACTCATTGTGGTTTTAATTTGCATCTCTTTGAGGCCTAGTGATGCTGAGCATCCTTTCATACTTCTCTGGGCCCTCTATGCGTCCCCCTTGGAGAAGTGTCTGTCCAAGTCCTTTGCTAATTTTTTAATTGGGTTGTTTGTCTTCCTGGTATTGAGTATTGTGAGTTCTTTATATAGTTTGGAGATCAAATCCTTGTCTGAGGTATCATTGGCAAATACATTTTCTCATAATTTTGGGTCCCTCTCCATTTTGCTGATGTTTTCTTTAGCCATGGAGAAGTTCTTAATTTGATGCAGTCCCATTTGTTTACTCTTTCCTTTATATCCCTTGCTCTATGGGACATACCAGTGAAAATATTGCTGCATGGAATATCTGAGATTTTTCTGCCTATGTTCTCCTGAAGGACTTTTATGGTGTCAAGACTTATATTTAAGTCTTTTATCCACCTTGAATTTATTTTTGCTTATGGTGTAAGTTGGTGGTCAAGTTTCATTTTTTTTGCATGTATCTCTCCAGCAATCCCAACACCATTTGTTGAAGAGGTTATTTGTACTCCATTTTATGTTCTTGCCCCCTTTGTCAAATATTAATTGAATACGGAGACTTCAGTTTATTTCTGGGCTCTCTAACCTGTTCCATTGGTTGATGTGTCTGTTGTTACACCAGTACTAGGCTGTTTTGATTACAGTGGCCGTGTAATACAGTTTGATATCAGGTACTGTGATCCCTCCTACTTTGTTCTTCCTTCTCAAAATTGCTGCAACTATTGAGGGTCATTTAGAGTTCCATATAAATTTGGAATAGTCTGTGAAGGATAGGGGTTAGCTCTTCCTTATGCTTTATAGAATTCTCCTGTGAAACCATATCTGGTTCAGGGCTTTTGTGTGTTGGGAGTTTTTTGATTACTGCTTCAATTTTGTCATCTGTTATTGGTCTATTAAGGCTTTCTGCTTCTTCTTAATTCAGCTTTGGAAAATTTTTTTCTAGAAACTTGTCCATTTCACCTAGGTTTTCAAGCTTGTTGGCATATAGTTCTTCATAGTAATATCTTACAATCCTTTGTATGTCTGTGGTATCAGTTGTAATCTCTCCTCTTTCATTTCTGATTGTGTTTATTTGGTTCCTCTCTTTTTTTCTTGATGAGTCTGCTTTATGGTTTGTTGATTTCATTTATCTTTTCAATGCACCAGCTGCTGGATTTATTGATTCTTAGAGTTGTGCTTCTAGTGTCTATGTTGTTTAACATATGTTTGCTCTGATCTTGGTTATTTCCTTCCTTCTACTTGCTCTGGGCTGTCTTTGTTGTTGTTCCTCCACTTCTTGTAGGTATAGGGTAGATTGTTTATTTGAAATGTTTCTCTTTTCTAGGTAGGCCTGTATCACTATGAACTTCCCTCTCAGGACTGCCTTCTCTGTGTACCATAAGTTTGGATTGTTGTGAGTTCAATTTCACTAGTTTCCAGAAACTTTTTTTTATTTCTTACTTGATCTCATACTGAACCCATTCATTGTTTAATAGTGTGCTATCCAATCTCCATTAGCATGAGTGTTTTTGAGTTTTTTTTCTTGAGATTGGTTTCTAGTTTCACTCCCTTGTGGCTGGAGAAAATGCTTGATATGATTTCAATTTTCTTGAATTTGTTGAGGTTTGTTTTGTGTCCTATCATGTGGTCTATCTTTGAAAACGTTCCATGTGCATTGGAAAATAATTTGTATTTTCCTTCTTTGAGAGGAGAGCTTTTATATGTATATATCAGTTAAGTCCACTTGATCTAGTGTATCATTCAGTGCCACAGTATCCTTTTTGACATTTTGCTTGGAACATCTGTCATTGTTGACTGGGGGGTGGTGTTAAAATCCCTTAGTATAAGTGTGTTGCTGCCTGTATCTTTCTTAAAGTCCTCCAAGATTTTCCTTATGTATTCGGGTGCTCTTATGTTGGGTGCAGATATGTTTATGTGTTCTTGATGGATTCTTCCCTTAAGTATTATGAAGTGTCTTTCAGTGTCTCTTTTTATGGCATTTGTTTTGAAGTCTATTTTTTCTGGTAGAAGTATTGTTACCCTGGCTTTTTTTTCCTTGTCCATTTGCTTGGAATATTTTTTTTCTAACCCTTCACTTTAGTCTGTGTAAGTCTTTTGTTCTGAGGTGGGTCTTTTGTAGGCAGCACATGCACAAGTCATGTTTATTATCCAGTCAGCTAGCCTGTCTTTTGATTGGAGCATTTGATCCATTCACATTAAGGTTATTATTGATAGGTAATTATTCATTGCCATTTCCCCCTTTGTACCTGTGTTTGTTTTTCTCTCTCATCTTTTTGTTCATCTTAAAGCAGTTCCTTTTGCATATCTTGCAGTGCTGGTTTGGTGGAGATATATTCTTGCAGCCTTCTTTTGTCTGGGAAACTTCTAATTTTACCTTCCATTTTAAATGAGAGCCTTGCTGGGTAGAGCCTTCTTCGTTGCAGGCCTTTGCTTTTCATTACTTGGACTATTTCTTTCCACTCACTTCTGGCTTGTAGCATTTCTGTTGAGAAATTAGCTGCTAGCCTTGTCAGGGATCCCTTGTATGTTACCTTTTGTTTCTGCCTTGCTGCTTTTATGATTCTCTCTTTGTGTTTAAAATTTGGCATTTTAATTATGATGTGTCTTAGAGTAGGCCTCTTTGGTTTCATTTTGATGGGACCCTTTGTACTTCCTGAACATGCATTGCTTTCCCCTCCCCAGGTTAGGGAATTTTCTGTCATTATTTTTCAAACAGGTTTTCTGTCCCTTGCTCCAGGGGAAGAAAACCTTTTGGTATTCCTATGACTCCAATATTGTTGTGTTTCATGTTGTCCTGAAGTTCTCTTAAGCTATCTTCATACTTTTTTATGTTTTTACATGCAGCTGTTCTACATGGGTGTTTCTTTCTGCTATGTCTTCCAGCACACTAATTCATTCCTTGGCTTCATTTAGCATTCTTGTAATTTCTTCTAGTGTATTTTTATTTCAAATATTGTAGTCTTCCTTTTTTCTTGGTTCTTATTAATAGTTTCTATTTCATTTTTCATGCTGTTATAGATTCCAATCAGTTCCTTGAGCATCCTTATAATTATTTTTTTCAAATTCTATGTCTCTTAGTGTGCTTGCCTCAATTTCATTAGCTCATTTATGAGGGATTCTCCCATGTCTTTCAATTGGAGATTCTTTCTTTTTCTCCTTATTTTAGGTGACTTTTATTTTTTTGTTTCCATGTCTCAGAATGCTCTGCTTTGTCAGCTGTCTTTGTGAGGTAGATTTCTGTGATAGGAGTTCTGTGGAACTCAGTTGTGTGATCTCTTTGATCTCTTTGTCTGGATGCTCTACGGTTGCTCTTTATTCCATTTGTGTTGGCTCTCTTGTTATACCTGGGCTTTAGTTGTTGGTGGGTTCTCTTATCCAGCAGGCTTACAGGTAGTCACAACTCCCACTTTGTCTTGTATGCTGTTGTTTCAGTGTTGGTTAACAAGGTAGTATTACCAAACAACCAAACCTATGTCAGCAAAAAGAACCCCCTGCCACATCAGCAATCTCAACCACAGTTGAGCAAAGATTAATAAAGGTGAAGAGAGATTATAGATATAATATATGACAAAGGGAACATGAGATGACTAAAAGAAGGAAAATGTTATTGAGTGTGTAGAGAGGAGAGAACTGATAGGTCTAGAGATAGAACCAAGGCAAAGAAAGGGAGAGAACAAAATTTAAAATGCAAGTAAAACACAGAAGGGCGATGGGAACAATGGGGTAAGAAAACAGAAAAGTATATTATGAGCTCTGAAGTAAAATAAAAAAGTAATTAGACCAATGAGAGCAAAATTGCAGAAAAACCACAGCAGAATCGATAGCACGACTGCTAAATAGATTTTAGTAAAGGTGGAACAGGAATAAGAATATTGTACAAAAGTGAAAAGTGAATATGAGATGTCTACCACAAAGAAAAATTATTTTCAGGGGATAGGGGAAGCAAACTAATAAGAATAAGAAGTAAAGCCTAGGTTGAGAGTAAAGGGGAAAAAAGAAAAAGAAAAAAATGAAATAAAATACCTCACTCGACTGATCAGGGGCAATGGGGAAGGCAAAATGGAGTAAGATGGGGGAGAGTATTCTATGGGATTTAAAGTACAAACAAATAGTGA